AATGTCCTGGGAAACACGTGACATTCACACCAAGATAGAAGAAAAATTTTCCATTATTGGAGAATAAAAATAATATTTTTAGTAAAATTTTATTTCAAGGAAATATAATTCACTCCTTCCCTGAAGTATTTAATACACTTAATGAAATCTCATACCAAATTGAGTTATGCAATTAAAGAATTGAGGGCTTTCAACTATTCTTCCATACAGCAGAGCTTAAATGTAATTTGTACATGAATACTAATGGATAACAAAAGCATGTTGTTGAATTTTGTTTTCCAGAAATGGTTATTAATAGTGGACTGATATTCAAATTATAATTTTTTAAAATATATTTTTATTGATTTCAGAGAGAGGAAGGCAGAGGGAGAGAGAGATAGAAACATCAATGATGCTAGAGAATCATTGATTGGCTGCCTCCTGCACGCCCCCTACTGGGGATCGAGCCCACAACCCAGGCATGTGCCCTTGACTGGAATCAAACCCCGGATGCTTCAGTCCGCAGGCCGACTCTCCACGCTCTACCCATTGATTCAAACTGGATAAGGCCCAAGTTATAATTTAACAGTGTTTTGGCTATCTGGAATATGTTTCAAATGACTTTATGAAGCTTACTAACTTTACATACCATTGTCATCTGCAAAAACTTTAAATAGAAAGATACTTTTTAAGTGTTCATGAATATAAAGGTACTAATTTCTCTTGGAGATTCTTAGATTAAAGGAAGGTTACCTTATATGTAAAAGAAAAAGTTGGAAAAATCTGTTCTTTATCATAATTAGGAGAAGACTGCCACTTGGAACTAATTTTAAGTAATATAAATGAATAGTGCATTCAGTCCTTTCTGATGAGTTTTATTCATGCATATGTACATAAATAAATTACATGTATACATGTGTTATAGAGAGAGACAGAGAAAGAAGAGCATGAAAGTCACATACATGACTTTCCTCTGGCCCCTGGAGGTATTTTATTTATAGTAGTTCTAATTACTGCCTAAATAACCTTCCTTTAAATATGGAAGAATACTAATAATTTAAAATGCTTCTATAACAAAAGACCGATTTCCACACCTGAGACTTGAAGCTGGTTTATCTCCACCAAAAGAACACACTAAGTGAATGAATGATTTTGGTGGATTTCAACACAGTAAGCTCAGATTAAATCTCAGAGAGAATGGCATTAACAGTGCTGCAGACCAGTGGGTAGCAGCTACATAGAAAATGGAATATCTAAAATTACTTCAATGGCATTTGTATATCTGAGGGTCAATATTACCAAAAAAACCCTCCAATTTATATAGTAGCCTGTCTAGAGATTAGGGACTGGGATTCTTTTTAAATGATGAAATTTGCATGATTTAATAATTACTGAGGTAGCAAATGTGTCCACGAGTTACATGCAAAAGCAGGGGTTCAGGGAAACAAAGCAAAGAGGATAGAGATCTAGAGTTCATTGAACTTCACTTCAAGATTTCTTTCTTTTTTTTTTATTCTTTCTCTCCTCCTCCTCCTTTCTCTCCCTCTGTCCCTCTTCCTGTCCCCTAGTCTCTCCTTCTTCCTCTCCCCTTCCTTTTCCATCTCTGTTGATATTAGGTATTAATTCCTTGGAGATTTTTATCACATAAATACCTCCATCTGGGTTTTTGTTCTGCGTGGTTTTAGGTGACCTTAAGTCTCTCTAAACTTGTCTTGTCTGTCAGCAATACTGTAAGGTTCAGATGAGCTGATGTGTCAGAAAAGTGCCTTGAAGATGTTAAAGAGAAAACCACAGGAACAAAGTGGCATCACTGTCGCTAAAGGCCCATGACACCCACTTAGCTTTAATACCTGACCTAATTGCAGTTTCAGCCTCTCCCAGAAACATAATCTCAATCAACCAGTCTGGAACTTTCCAGTCAAGTATGCTTAAGGTAATCTGTCCAGTACCTGCCTGTCCCTCCAAGAAGAGGCAACCTGCAGGATTAAAAACTCTTCCAACTCACTCAGGTTCTCTTTCCTCAAAAACAAGATATCCTGGTTTAAAAAATCATCCTTTCTTTTCTTTTGTTAATAGCTCCTTTGTCCCACCCTCCTTGTTATAAAAACTTACATTTTGTACAACCCCCCAGATCACCCTTCTTATTGGTAGATGGGATGCTGCCCAATTCATGAATAGCTTAATAAAGCAAAGTAGATCTCTAAATTTACTCAGTTGAATTTTGTAAAAAACAGAAACCAAGTAGTATATTACCAACATACTTTGTATTAATGATTGTGCTTGATATGTGCCTGCTTTATATGTGTCATCTTATCTCCCAGTGACCTTAAAAGATAGCCGCTGTCATTTCATTTCACAGTTGAAGAAACTGAGGCATGGAGTGATTATTAACCTGCCCAAATGTAACCTTGTGTTAACGTAAAAAACCATTGAAACCTGTAAAGAATTTTTGTGAGTTTGTTTGAGCCAAACTGTTGACATATGCCGGGAAGCAGAACCTCAACGAATTGAGATAGTGCTCCGGAGAATGGCAGGGTTACATTCGTATTTATACATGAAATTCATTGGTGACAGATTTAAGGAGGTGGGATTAAGCGAAGCGGGGGTGGGGGGGTGGGGGAGGGAACCTCTGTGATAGGATAAAAAGTAAAATGATGGACACATACTTAGGTGGGTGCAGGAACAATTAACATGATAAATGAAAGAATCTGCTGCATCTGTCCTGGGCTTAGCACACCTGGTTGTGCCCCAGGGGCTCCAGATACAGGGAAATCACAAGTTACCCAGACATTTCAAGGGTATGTTATCATAGATGCAAAAAGACAGATAGGCTCACTTACAGTAAAGGTTGACCTTATCAGTGAAGATATCGGCTTAGGACGTAACTGCCCACCATAACTGCTTTTAGTTAAGGTTTAATTTCAGACCATCCTTTGTGGTTACTTTAGGTCTCCGGAGTCTGCAAAACTGCCATGCAGGCCTCTCCTGAGCTTGTCAGGTCAGCATGTGGCCCCTTTTGTCCACACTTGTAATTAGCTAGTTTATTATATTAATAATAGGAAGAGAGCAAAGGGGAGACCAGACTTTATAAGCATGTTCATCTGGGCAGCTCCAACTTTAAGCTCCCCAGGGAACCATGGATCCATTCCCTGCACATCCCAGGGGGAAGGGATCAAACAAAGGGGGAGATGGGCCTGTGTGCAGTGCAGCCCACGTGACCTTAGGGAAGGTCCTTGCCTGTCAGTCAAGCCTGGGGAACAGTGATTTGACTAGGAGGGTGGAGCCACTGCAAGTGCCTGGAATCTTGGAAGTTTAAAGTCCCCAAAGAGTTCTTTCTCTCTTGTTTCCTTCTTGACCCCTGTTTCTCTCTTGCTCCATGACCCACACTTGGTCTCCTAAGCCGAATTAGGTGATGTTCACTGGAACTTGTACTTATGTATCTTTTGTATCTTTTTAGAGCAGCGGTTCTCAACCTGTGGGTCGCAACCCCTTTGGGGGTCGAGCGACCCTTTCACAGGGGTCGCCTAAGACCATCGGAAAACACCTATGTAATTACATATTGTTTTTGTGATTAATCACTATGCTTTAATTATGTTCAATTAGTAACAATGAAATTGGGGGTCACCACAACATGAGGAACTGTATTAAAGGGTCGCGGCATTAGGAAGGTTGAGAACCACTGTTTTAGAGGCTACTATTCGATCCACTATACGTACTTTCTAAACAGCAAATTTCGCTGGATTTCCATTTTATATCTGTAGGTGAAATCCTGGACCACTTTGGAGCTTTGTAGTGTGAGTGTTTGTGATAGTTTCCAGGATGTGGGAAAGCATTGTAAGGCCATAGCATATTGCCAGGAAGATGGCCCAGGCTCCCAGTTCTTCCCTTGACCTCCACCTTAAACTTCCCTGATCCATTATTCACAAGCTGCCCAGTTATTTTTTAAAAATAGAAATCTAATCATAATTCTCTTACTCTTTAGGGTTTACCATGGAGCTTCAAATACAATCCTACCTCTTTATACAGTTTTTTCAAAGGTTGTGGATGATGTCTTCACCCTCCTCTCTCATCACTCTGAGCTTCATTCACATTGTTCTCTTTACTTAGAAGTGAACATTCTTTGACCCCTCTCTGCTCACGCCCCTACTTTAGAACTTAGCACAGATGCATTTTCCTCTGTGGGCCCTTCTGAGACCACCCAGCTCCCGAGTGTCTACACAGCATCTGTCCCATACGCTCAGTCATGGCATTTGCCACCAGGCTTGTTAATTATCCTTGTGCTGGCCAGTGTTCCCCTCTGGATTGTATCTACAAGGAGAGGGTGGGGGGTACCACATCTGTCTTGTTCACAGTTGTAACCTCAGCTTCAGCATTGTGTGCAATTCAGATTTATGGAATAAAATAAATAAATGTAAAAACCAGGGTTCTGATTGAAGTCCCACTTATTTCTAACTCCTCTTCTCTTTAAGAAAGTGTTGGGTAAAGCTGGTTTAGCCCATAGCTTCTACTTTCTTTCTTGGACTGGTTCAGAACTGCTGCAGATCTTTGGAAAAATGACTCGCATAAATATTTGGGAACCCACTAGTAACAGATGTTCTGGTCTCTGCTCATCAGCTCTGTAGTTATGATGGACCTGGAACTGGCTTGGCTAGGGATGTCCTTGTGAAAATTGTCCTCCTTTAGTGTGCAATCAAAATAGTACTCTCCCTCAAAAATCAGAAGCTACGTAGAAAGTGACAAAATTTGGGTTGATTGTAAGAAAAACATTGAAATAAAGTATTTTATGTATTACAATAGTTTGTGAAAAATCTCAAACTTTGGCTAATTTCTTCCCAGTGAATTAATCTTCATACATTAAATTCTAGGGAAATATGTTTTTGTTTTTCTATATCAGATGACTTTGGAAAAGCTTGATTTTGTGCTTCCTTTTAGACAGATATTTATTTTTTTAACTTAGATAATTTGTCTGTTTTACAGCTGTTTTCCATGTTTTATATTGATTAGCTATTCTTCTTTTATAGTTATGCCCCTTGGTGTCCATCCTGCCAGCAGACTGATTCAGAATGGGAGACATTTGCAAAGAATGGAGAACTCCTTCATATCAGTGTGGGGAAGGTAGATGTCATTCAAGAACCAGGTACTGTAAATGTTGAACATTAAAGGTAAATGTTTGTTACTTTTTAGTTTGAATTTTTTTCAAATATATAGAAAAGTTGTGATACTCATGAACTGACCATCTAGAATCAACAGATAACATTTTGGCATATCTGGGTCTGTCTATGTATGTGTGTGTTTACACATATATATTAATATTTTTAAAATTATTTTCTTTTGCTGAGTCATTTGAAAATAAGTTGCAGACATCATGATTTTACCTTCAATACTTTGGCATATTAAAATTTCCCTAATTATTTCCCACATGCCTTTTAATAGTTTTTGGAACCAGGATCTAATCAAGGTTCACCATTTGCATTTGGTTGTTAAGTGTTTTCAATGGCCCTTAGTTAAAATAGTCCTCTGATATTCTGAAGAGAATAGGCCAGAGGTGTGCTTAGGTGTTTTCTTATATTTTCTATAAACTTGAAGTTCAGCCTAGACTCTAGAGGCATGATTCAGGTTGGACATGTATGGCAAGAATATTTCATAGGTGATACTGTGCTTCATAATTTATTAGAGGCCGGGTGCACAGATTCATGCACATAGAAAGGGAATGAATTAGAAGGTGGCCTGTGAGGCAGGACTGGGCGAGACGGGCTGGACACACCTTGGAGCCAACCTCCCGCGATTCCTCCCCAGCCAGCCGCAGCTGGGGCAGTGCCAGGGCTCGAAGGGCATCTCGAAGGGTCCCTCGGGCAGGTGGTGGTCCCTTGGCCTGGCCTATGGGGATTGGGCTCCCTCCTCTCTGGTTCCAGGGCACTCACTCAGGAACCACCACTGCCAAGTCACTGCAGCTCGGCAGCTCCTGCGTTGAGCATCTGCCCCCTGGTGGTCAGTGCATGTCATACCTACCGGCCGGTTGGTTGGATGGTTGGATGGTTGCTTAGCCTTTTATATATATAGACTAGAGGCCCAGTGCATGAAATCTGTGCACAGAGGGAGGGGTAGGAGTCCCTCAGCCCAGCCTGCACCCTCTCCAGTCCAGGACCCCTCACAGTCCGGGACTGCTGGCTCCTAACAGCTAACCTGCCTGCCTGCCTGATCATCCCTAACCACTCTGCCTGCCTGCCTGGTCATCCCTAACTGCCCTCCCCTGCCAGCCTGATCACCCCTACCCGCCTCTGTCTTGGCCCCCGCCACTGTGGCTTTGTCCGGAAGGATGTCTGGAAGATGTCCGGTCTAATTAGCATATTACCCTTTTATTAGTATAGATGCCATCAGAAGACATGTACTATCACTGTTAGTAATGTTCAGTTTGAGCACTTGGTTAAAGTGAGGACACTAAACATCTCAATTATAAAGAAAAGATCCCACTCTGTGATTGGCAGGTAATCTGTGGGGTGACACTTTGGGGTTTTGAGATACATAATGATCTTACCTGAATAAAATATTTCATTGTGAGTTCCAGAATGATGAATTTCAAATTCTGTTGTGTCAGCTATATTTATTATCTGTTAAATGGTGTAATTTTCAAAAGAAAGAGGAGGAGGCTAGAGGAATCTTTTAAATTCTTAAAAGAGACACACAATTTGTATTTGTAGTTTAAAAATAACTGTGAATAAAAGTTGGGTGTTTATGATTCCAGTTTCAAATTTGACTATTTTCAAACTTTATTAGGCATTTTTTCCTATTTACATTTATTTTCTATTGTGTTCCTTTACACAGATTAAAAAGAAAGTAGGTATGGAAATGTAGCTATTACCTTTCTGCAATAATTGTGAGTTCAAAAAAGACCTTAGAGGGTGGGTAAGGGTAGGGGTGGGGAAGTGGGGGGGTAAGAGGTCAACCAAAGGACTTGTATGCATGCATATAAGCATAACCAATGAACACAGACAGTAGGGGGTGAGGGCCTGTGCTGGGGGGTGGGGGTGGGCTGGGAGATGTCAATGAGGGGAAAAGGAGACTCATGTAATACTTTAAACAATAAAGAATTAAAAATAAAAAAAGACAGAGTATTGAATTAGTAGTTACTTGGACAACAAAATTGACCGTGTCTGTTAAGATCCTTGTGTTGGCAAACCCATGTAGAGAGGTTTCTATTAAAAGCCGTTAGTCCTCAGGCCTCCACCCACCTTTTTAAGCATTGGAATCAAAGCCACTTTTGCACATCTGCTATTTAGAGATGGAAAATTATAGTTATTAGTTTATGGTTTTGGCTATTATAATGAATTATTCTGCTTAGAGGTCAAATCATTGCAATTACACTTTTGCTGTACACTTGTTTTCATCTTTTAGTAGTTTGATTCCAGAAGTCAGGTTTAAGTCTTATTCATTAGTGGGCATCAGACACATTTTTTGAGGAGTTTCTTGAAAATACAGCTGGCCTATACACATTTTAGTCATTTGGTATAGCTGCTGTGAATTCACAACATGATTTTAAATAAAAGAATTTAACAGCTTTGTGATGGATTCACAAATCTAAAGTCTAATTGAATATAGTATTTTCATCTAATATGTTTGACTTATTTTTTCTATTGTAGATTGATTTGTGCATTTTTTTAAAGAGGTAACAAATTATGATGGAATATTTTAAAAAGAAATTTATTATTGACTCATGCTGTTTATGTAAAACAAGCAATATATATTTGAAATATTTATCAAAGAAGAAGGAACAAAAGGTCTTTGGTCTTATGTAGTATTAATTCACTGGCAAGCCTCTAGGGTGCCTATCCCTATTTTTGGAAGCTATTTGATTATTTATTTTATTTTTACAGAATCTATTGTCCTGAACAAGCAGTGGGAAGCCATTGAAATGTTACTATTTTTCTCACACTTGAGCACTTTATTAGATATGGATGTGTACAAATTTATATTTGGTTATAGGTCTCTATTAGTATATTCTTTCATCAGGGCTGCTAATAAGGGATAATTTCATTTCTTTTCTCTGCAAAATTTAAAAAGAAGGGAAAGGAAGAATTTTTGAAGTATTCATGCATAATTCTTTAGTTATTCCTGTAACTATTCCATTGATATATTTAATAAGAAATTTTTTTAGGATTTCAGAATTATAAAGACTGGGAATTAGAAATACATTATATTTTTACAGTTGAGCTGTAGAAGTCACGGGAAGGACACACCTTAGATTAGACAACATTACATTGCCTGTTTAATATTGCATAGACCAGATGATGTTTCAGTTGTTGACTTTGGGAAATTAAATTTACTACATATGAATATATACTTGAACCTTCTGTTCCATGCAGATGAGCTTAGTTGTCAAAGACAGGAAAACAGTAGCTGCTCATAGAGCATCCATGGATGATGGCTATGTCACTAGATTAGAGGTAAACCAGACCCCTGCAACAGCCAAGAAAAAGTAAGCTTTATGATTAAAACCATTAATTTCAGAAGCCAATTTAGTTTATTGTATTTCAGTTAGTGTTAATATTTTAATTTTATAATTATAAAACTGACTCTTTTTTATTCTATTTATTGCCCTCAAAGATAAGGTTTGATCTACTTTTTATTTATTGTTTTCCCTTTGCTTCTTTCTTTAGTGCTAATTAATACTTAAACATTTACTTCAGCCTCTAAGTGTGTTAAGCACTTATATACATTTCAGGCTCATAATAGCCCTAGGAAGAATAGACTATTTCTCTCTATACTCTTTAAAAAACAAAGCCTCAGAGAGGTTAAGTCACATGTCCAAGGTAAAAACAGCTAATAAATGGTGAAGCACAAGCCAGTAGCTATCCCCATTTTCTTAATCTAGAACTCATATAATTTCTATTGTGCTTTTGCCTATCAAAATATAGTTCCCTGTCATAATTTTCTCTCTAGTCTTTTAACACTTCTTTTTATTTTGCTAAATGTTTAAGATAAAGTTGCTAATAAAAGTTTTTTTCTGCATTTTGGATTAATGCCTCTTTTATGTTGCAGTATAGTCTTCATTTTAAGATGGTAGTTGGCCCTTAAAGTAAAAAGGGCAGGCCTGTAGGAATTTTGGAAGGCCTGTGGTCAAACGTTCTCTCTTACTTGAAGGTTTGAGTGCACTTGTTTCTTCCCCGCTTACTGATGTTTGTTGCAGTGAACCATCACGCAAACCTTAAAAGGAGCTGCCCCCATGTTGTTATTATATTCCTTAAGATCCACATTTAACTTGTTTTTAAACCCTGAGGCCACAACCTAAGATTGTGCTTCTCTGTTGATCATGTTTTAACTTTTAAGGTAATGAATGTCTCCCTTGAAACTTCATAACATCAGTGTTAAAGGTTAGAAGACATTTTTGGAGCGCTGGCATGAGACTCAGAGCTTTCTGACATCTTTCAGCCTCTCAGAAGTGACATTTATTTGAAATCAGTTTTCTATGGTATCAGATATTTAAGGGCTTAGTAGTTGTCATAATCCAAGGACTACTTCGGTTGCTCTAGATTTTGTTACTGATTTTACTGAATACATCGTCAGTGACAATATATTATTCCAGACAGCAAACAACTCATATCTGAGTTAGATGTTGTAACCTTGTTACTGTCCCACATAGGTTGTCATTTGAAAAAATATTAACAAACATGAAGCAATCTTGAGGTGCAACCATTTGTTAATAATGGTCATTATTTTCAATGAACCTTAATTAGCAGTTTTGTATATTGATATCATCATTACAAAAAAATCAAAATAGTAATTCATATTAAAAGCCAAAACATTTTTATACCCTTTAACCTAGCAATTTTGGGAACATGCATCCTGTACCTTCTAGCCTAAAACAAAAATCTGAGACCATCTGTCACTGTGTTTCTCTTATTTTCTCTGTACTCATTGATTTCCATTAGCACGTTTATTAGTGAAAATATGTTATATTATCCAAAATAATGTACAATTTCCAAAGCACTTAACAATAAATGAGTTTGTGTTTGTTATAGCCTTTCATTTTACTCAACTTTGAATCAGAGATTTAAAAATATGAAATAATAACTAGTATTTATTTAGTACTTATATATCAGATACTGTTTTCTATGTTCTTTATAAATGTAAAATTATTTAATACTAAAATAGTATGAGAAATCATGATGCTTATTTATAATAAGATAAGAAAACCTAAGCCCAGACAGATTTAATGTCTTTGGTTAAAATCAAATAAGAGGCAGAAGTAGGGTTTGACCCCAGGTAAGCTGGCCTGTGACACTGGAAATATTATTTTGTATATTATATAACTTACTGTGTTTTATGAAATATTTTATGTATTTATTGTTTACTTTTTAACTTATTTCCATGACCAGTGATGACCAAGAACATTTGCAGGATTTTAAAGAAAGGTTAAAAATATTGTCTTCACTGATAACATTTATTAGAAATCCTGTCTATGTATTTTAATAAATGTAAGACCTAAATAGAAACTTGAAGAAGTGGTGACATGCTATTTGTTCATTCCATTTTAAAAGATCATCTAAATAAAGCATAATACGCTAACATTGTCACTTTTCTTACATAGAAACTTGGGTGGTCATAGGAATCTCTAGCTAGTAAAGAAGTGAGCTGTGAAATTGTTTATAATAATTATTTTAAGCATATAGTAATTTTTAAGCCCTTAGGATTTCCAACACTTTTCCCCCTGGCAGTTTAGAGTTGAAAATAAGTGAAAAGATACCTATGTTCCCTGCTAGCGTGGAATTCCAAGCAGTGTTAGAGGTGAAAATGCCCTGCAGACAGACATGCTTGTTAACAGTCTCAGTTGACTTCTCAGGTCACTTGTGGTGTTGTTACTGCCAGTAAAACCTTTAAAAAGATGTACAATGATAAATGTATGTAGTAAATGTTTCTTTTTGTAACATTGACTTTTACTGCCTTCATAGTACTGTGTTTTCTTTAAGTGCCATAGGGCTATTTTAGAGTCTGCTTGGTTTGATATGAGGGAGAAAAAAAGCAATTTCTTCTTTGGGAAGACTCATCACTAATCAATAAATTATCATGCTGAATAAAATTTAATTTATACAATGGGTATAAGCAACTTTTGTATGTTATTGAAAGTAAACCTTGAGCGTTTCAAATAACCACAAAGATGTGACATTTGATCTCCTTTATTTGAATAGATTTTGATTTTGTCCAAATTGTTCTTCAGTGGGAAAGTCAGAAGTGATGAGAAATGTGAAAATCATGTCTCTGTCATTTCCCCATGCTGGCCAGGAGCATCCTTTCCCTCTCCTTCTCTTTGCCAGTACCAGGCTCGCTCATTCTTGGTGCCCACAGAAATGTTTTTATTTGTAAACATATAAAGAGCAGGGATTTGTTCTTTACTCCTAGTCTCATCCAGACTTTTGTTGCATGCCCCTTTCTTGATATCATCTATCTGTTTAGAGTTATGATGGTAAGTATCAAGGTCTTTCCCTCTGCCACTAACCAGACTGTAAGCTCTGTGAGAACAAAGACTGGACATGTTTTTACTTATCTTTGTGTCTTGAGCAGTTATCACAGTCCCTGGAACAAAGGTAATTAGTAAAGATTTGCTGACTTATTAAGGGTTTTATTTGTCTTTGTTTTCACATGTACTTCGCATAGCGTTCGATGTCTAGTTAACGTTCAGTAAAGGTTTGCTTTACTGAAAATTTGAGAAAATCTGTTTAATGTACTGTCCCTGGACAGTACTTACACATTTTATAAATGTGCAAAGGTTATACATGATCTTATTATTTCAGATTCTTTATTATTTTAAAACCTACATGTGATCTAATAATATCTATAATTTATTGATTGAGTCCTTTACTATGTGCTACTAGTAAGTACTTAATATACTGAGCTAGTCTAACTTCAGAACAATTCAGTTAGGCTTTAATATACCTATTTTCTAGATGAGGTCACTGAGACTAGAAAAGTTAAGCAATTTATCTAAGGTCAGAAAGGTTAAGTAATTTATCTCAGGTCATATAGTCATTACATGACTATCACCTGTTCTGTCAGCCATCATAAAATTCTAAGTGATACACAAGCCAGAAAACTCCTATGTAACATCAGAATAAGCAAGTTGTATGCCACTAACTGGAATGTATTAGAAAATGAAATTGGGTAAAAATGAAATTTCTTTAAGTAAAAAAAAAATAAATAGTGTATGTGACTTAATTCTGTGATATAAAAGCAAGCTCACCTGGCCAGCATGGCTCAGTGGGTGGTGGTTGAGCACTGACCTATGAACCAGGAGGTCATGGTTCAATTCCTGTCAGGGCACATGCCAAGGTTGCAGGCTCAATCCCCAGTGTGGGGCATGCAGAAGGCAGCTGATCATTGTTTCTCATCATTGATGTTTCTATCTCTGTCTCCCTCTCTCTTCCTCTCTGAAATACACACACACACACACACACACACACACACACGCATGCACGCACGCACGCACGCAAGTCAGCTTAGGCTGCTTGATCTTATAAATTAAGTTAGCTGCTTGGGTTAGTTAGAGTTTGACTTGTAACTTTTTTTGTTTATGCTTCTTGTAGGTTTGAGTGGCCGCTTCTTTGTCACCACTCTCCCAGCATTTTTTCAGTAAGTTAAAGTAATATTCTGGGCTTGTAAATATTATAAATCGGTAGATGTGTATCAAGAATTCTAAGTTTTTTTCCATAACCATCACACATTCAGCTTAACATCTGGAGGAGAAAGACAGCTCTGTGGGAATGATAGCTATTAGAAGAGAGGAATGCTCAGAGTGCTGCAGGCAGCTAATTGAAGGTGGGGCGTGGGAGGGTCAAAGAAGATTTTTCTGATGACATAAAAGGTGGGATGATTCTTAAAGGATATGTCGGAATTGGTTAAATAGACAAGGTAGAGAGGCCTTTCCAGATACAGGAGATGCCATGGAAAAGCCCAGAAGAAAATGAGCTACCTTCTGAGAACTGTAAGGAGTTCTGTATGGATCATCCTGGCTGATGTGATGTTAGGGAGGCTCAAGTAGTGAGAGGGGGAAGAGAAAGGAAGGGGTGGGTTCTGGAGATGCTTGGGAGGTGGGATCATTGGAACTTGGTGACCAATTAGCCATAAGGAAGGAAAAGCCTGCAATGACTACCAATAGGCCATGTGTCACTACTAAAAGCTATTGAGGAGCTATTTGGTCATAAGCTGAGGTTTGGAATAAGATGAGGTTTGGAAGATAGAGGCCAAAATGGAGAAAATAGTGTGACGTGACTATGCTAATTTCAAATAGAAAAGTTTAGGTGATTGTCTGATTTGAGGATCTAAAGCTCAAAAGATTTAGACTGGAAATACATATTGGGGATTTCCCAGAATCAAGATAAGAGTTAAAATATATTTAGAGAGAATGTATGCAACAGGAATAGAAGTAGGTCATGGATAAAACCTGGGGTTGACCAGCCTTAGGACAGGGAGTAAGGAACGAGGAGGAGTGGTCAGAATAGGAGGAAGAAGTCCAGAGAGCTCAAAGGCCAAGGGAGAGAGGGAGGAAGGCATGTTCAGTTGTGGGCAGTGCCAGTGACAGACAAAAGAGAAGTGCTGCCTGGATGTGGCGCTTCAGAGTCACTGGGGACTCTCCCCCATATGAGCAGTTTCCATGGAGTCGTGGAAGCATAACCCTAAGTCGCACGGATTGCGAATGAGTAATATCTGAGGAGAAAATGGTGAATGTAGACGCTGCTCTTAGGAAGCTTGACTGGGGAGAAAGCAGGAGCGGGGGAAGACGCAAGGGGCATGTGAGATGGTGTTTTGTTCATTTTCAAGGAGGGACTTAAATGACAAAATTTGGAAATGTAGAGAGTTTTTAAAACTTAATAACAACTGCTGTTTTGCTGTTATAAGAGAAACTTGAAATACTTGGTAGCAAAAATAATAAAAAGTAACTTGGCAAGAACTTTGCTTATGCTCGTGAATTTTGCAGTGATAAATTAGAACGTTTAATGCTTTTTCAATTTCTCATTTGTAATAGATTAATACTTATGCGTGCTTCCTTATTTATGCTTAGCTATAATTTTTTCTCTATTTAAGACAAGTTAAAATTCAGAGTGTAGTTCACATGTAAAACCAATAGTTATTTTTGTTATCTGCAACACTTGTTATTTAATCTGTGTGTTTTCTATTTGTTTTTATAATTTATAGTGCAAAGGATGGGATATTCCGTCGTTACCGTGGCCCAGGAATCTACGAAGACCTGCAGAATTATATCTTAGAGAAGAAGTGGCAATCAGTTGAGCCTCTGACTGGCTGGAAATACCCGGCTTCTTTAACGTAACTTGTAATTTTTATCTAATGGGGCCAATTAATGAAACAAGCAGTATCAAGTGAACAGTTCATGGACCTTGAAAGTCTCCGTTTTTCTTCATATTCACTTCTGATTACCCAGGCTACATATGACCATGCTTAGACCATGTGTGTTTTGGGTTTTATGGCCCACATGTGTTTCAGCTAGTTGTGAGTATACTGGGAAGTAAGTGTCCAGCTTCAGGTGGGTTGCAGAAAGTCACCCCTAACTTTTTCACTAAGCCACACCAACCAACTATTTTCTCTCTCTTTTTTTTGAATATATATTTTATTGATTTTTTACAGAGAGGAAGGGAGAGGGATAGAAAGTTAGAAACATCGATGAGAGAGAAACATCAATCAGCTGCCTCCTGCACACTCCTCACTGGGGATGTGCCTGCAATCGAGGTACATGCCCTTGACCGGAATCGAACCTGGGACCCTTCAGTCCGCAGGCTGACGCTCTATCCACTGAGCCAAACCAGTCAGGGCCAACTTTTTTTCTCTTTGGAAAATATGGTATTGAACACAGTTATCATTCTTTCTTCCTTTTAAATTATTGATAAGATATGGAAGTGGCTCTTCCTTGAATTATAGTTTATGAAGGAATTACTCTTGTATCAATGTGGAAACTAAAACCTATGGTGTCTTTAACTGCCTAGCGGAATATTGCCGGGTAACTTACAGCCATGAGGGTGAATTACATAATAATTGGTGAGGTAGATAGGGCCAATCCATAATAACTTTTCCCATAGTTGGTTTTAGTTTTGAATGAGTTATCATATTTGTAATTAATTTTGTTAGTATATACAAGTATAAGGAATATCCTTGCTGAAAAAGGATTAAATGATGTAATATTTCAGGAATAAATCATGTAAATAGTACTTATGTAATACTCTGAAAATACGTAACTTAGTCTACCGTAAAAGCAGCTTTCATTCTCCCAGTATTGGAGATGAGTTTATGCCAGATACTGTTCCAGCTGCTAGATATTCAAAAGTGAAAAAGATGGGCATGTATCTCTGCTCCCCTTAGGCAGCTGAAAGTAAAACAGATTGAAAAAAAAAATGGAGATATAAAGAATTGTAGGCTGTTTAAAACAAAACAAACAAAAACAATGTTTACTAAGGCAGGGAATAACTGGGGCAGGGACCTCTGTTGGATGAGGGATTAGGAGAGGTCGCTCTGAGGGAAGGACAATAGTGAGGCCTGAAGGATAGAACAACCGAGTTGCGTGCAGAGCAGGGCAGGAATATTCCCAGGAATCAGTGTGACATGGGGATAGGCCCCAGTTTGGAAGAGCTTGCTATGCTGAGAGCAGAAAGTGCCGGGGTCAAGACGGTGATTGGTGGGGAGAGTAGTATATACTAGTATATAAGCCAAGAAAGAGGGGCAGGCAGGAGCCAGCTCATACAGGCCTTTGACCACATTGAGGAACCTGGATGCTATCAGTGCGTGCAATGACATGGTGACTCTTCGGAGAAGAGACTGGGGAGGGCAAGAATGGATGAGGTCAGACAGCTAGGAGGCTGTTGCTCTGTCTAGCCTAGGGATGGTGCTAGTGCATAGCAGGGTGGCAGCAGTGGGATGGAGAGAATGGGTGGATTTAAAATACTTTGCAGGTAGACTTGTCTAAGGTGAAGGAGAGGGAAGATTTACAAAAAATCTCTTGGGTTTCTGGTTTGAATCTTACTGGTTTGAGCAAGAGAAGAGCAAGGGTTCAGTGTTAAATGTGTTAAGTTTGAGATGCAGATTTCTTTGTAGAGCTGTCGAGTTGGATGTATGGAGATGGGTCCTTAGAGAATTCAGGAACACAAATACAAAACATATAGATGGTATTCAAAGCCTTGGGAGGGAGGAGATCACCTAAAGATTGAGAGAAAAGTGCTTGTGGCCTAGCCACAAGACACAGAGTTAAGAAGAGAAGGAGTCAGCAGAAGGAGTCAAAAAACTGAAAATGAGTACCAGTGAGTCAGGAGGACAAGCAGGGTTATGGGGTTTCCCGGAAGCCAAGTAAATTAGGTGCTTAAGAGTGTAGAGTAGTCCTGTGTCCTGTGTTACCAAGAGGTGAAAGAAGATCAAGTCTGAGACATGGACGTTGAATGAAGCAATTGCAGGGTCATTGTGGCTTTCACAACTAGTGATACTGCAGTAGTGAGGGCAGGAGCAGATTTGAATGGGTTAAAGGTACAGTAAGGAAGAAGAAACAAGTGTGGCCTACTCCTTGGAGAAGAGAAGCTGGAGGGTCCAAGGACGCTCTTTTTAAAAGATGGAGAAGGTCGAGCATGTTTTCATGCCCATGAGAATGACCCAGCAGAAAGGAAGAAGTTGCTGATGCAGGCAGAGGGGCTGGCAAAAAGAACCAAGATGTTAATAAGCCAAAGGGATGGGATCCAAGGCCAAGAGGAGGAGGGCAGATAGACTTTCTCTGTGGAAACAAGACAAGGTGCATGCAGGTGAACCCCAGGCTCAGATTGGGTGGTGAGAAGATAAGAGAGATCACATAATGGCTTCTGATTTCACAGTGACATGTGAGGAGTGTGAGCTGAGAGTGAATGGGGAGAGGAGGGTGGAAGGGAGTGAAGAAAGGGAAAAGCACAAGAGCTGCCCTGGCAGGTAGAGCCTGAAAGTGCAGTAGTGAGGCACAAACAGGCTTGTGACTGAAGGAAGAGCAGTCAGCTGATTTGTCCCCAGAGACAGTTGGGGTTTTGCCAGGCATGTACAGTGGAGGGAGAAGGGGCCAGGGGATTTGAATGTATTTACAGCAGTGCCTGAAATGATGGCTGTGGAGCTGAAGCTCTGTATGAACACAAGTAAATGCAGGAGAGAGGACAATGTATTGCAGAGTGGAAGGGCAGATCCTTGTGACCTGAGTTTGGTTTTTTTTTCACAGTATACATCACCAATGGTTCTCCTTCTCTCTGTTTTTTAGGATGTCTGGAATGGCTGGCCTTTTTAGCATCTCTGGCAAGATTTGGGTAAGTAATTTTAAATATACCCTTTGTGATTATCTTTGCAGAGGGTTTTTTTTTAAATATATTTTATTGATTTTTTACAGAGAGGAAGGAAGAGGGATAGAGAGTTAGAAACATCAATGAGAGAAAAACATTGATCAGCTGCCTCCTGCACACCTACTGGGGATGCACCCGCAACCAAGGTACATGCCCTTGACCGGAATCGAACCCGAGACCCTTCAGTCCACAAGCCGATGCTCTATCCACTGAGCCAAACCGGTTAGGGCTTTGCAGAGGGTTTTTAAAGAGTAAGAATGTAACTTTTAAACCATAGGAAAATAAACATTGTGAATACTTTTATAATTTCACTTTTCTTATTAAGCCACACAACTACTCTCACAAGGGTCCCCAGTGGAAATGTGTCTTTGTGTAGAAAGGCATAAATTGAACAATGACCAGTAACTGTTGTGTCAAAGTCATACTTTTTTAGATCAGAGATGAATCTCTTTATCAAAGCTGAATCAGGCTCATGTGGTTTTACTTCATTTTATATTCCCATTGTCATAATCTACAGATCAAAGATTAAGCCCGAAAGTGAATTTGTATGTCAGCAATCAGCAAACTATAGCTTGTGGGCTGGCCACCTGTTTTTGAAACATAGCCATGTTCATTCATTACCTGTTGCTTTCACTCTAAGAGGTAAAGTTGAGTAGCTGTGACAGAGACCATGTGGCCCACAAGCCTAAAATATTTGCTTTCTGCCCCTTCAGGAAAAAGTTTGGACACTCTTGCTATATGTGATTGTATCATTTCACTGAGTCATTTCAGTGAATTCAAACTATTATTTAGTTAAAAGTTTGGACAATTATATAATTTTGAATGTGTCACAAAACCTTGTGCTCCCCTTTATGTGTAGAGTGAGCTAAATCCTGTCAGATTTAGCACAATTGCTGTGGAATTAAATATATATTCTTAAAGTATTCTACGTCTTCAAAATGAGTTCCTGTATTTGTCTTTCTAAGCTTTGTGTAGGTCGTGATGTTATTTTGGAACTTAATATTCAAGGAGCTCAAGAAGACTCTGTGTTTCTCATGCACGTCGAGATATGTTGAGGGAAATTCAAGAGCAACCTTTTGTGTCTAAGTTTTTAAGTTGTGTTTTATTTTCTGCCTTGTGAGATGAACCAGAAGCGGTACCTTAGGCAGGGTTAGGAATCCTGGGGCTGAGATTCTGTCTGGAGCAAGTGTTTGGAGAGACCGTCAGTCTTTGTCTTCTTATCTCTTGTCACAGTTGGCTACAATGATGCAGGGAGGCGTTATCTCTTTTCTAGAGGACAAGCCATTATTCTCCACCTTGTGTATATGTCTCTGAACCCATTGCTTTTCCTCTTGTAACTGTTGTTACTAGAATTCTTTGAATGCTTAGCATAGAACCCGCACCAAGTACATACTTGATAACTGTTTTTGTTAGTTATATTCATTAATTATTGTCATTATTTTGCTTTCCCCCTCTGATTAGGAAACAAAAATGTTTTGTTTGTATTCATTTATTTTTAACAAACTCTGATGGCAGGATTAAAATAAGGTTTTATGGCAGTTGTATAATGTGTACTTGGTAGCTAGGTTTAGCATTTGAATGTACTTAAATATTATTTGACTAGAGGCCTGATGCACAAAATTCGTGCAAGAGTAGGCTTTTGCGGCCGCAGCGGCTTCCTCGATCCTGGGGCTGCAGATCCGGCTTCGTCCGGAAGGTCATCTGTTCTAATTAGCATATTACACTTTTATTATTATAGATTTGATATGGTGAATTTGTGCTGCTCACTAAGCTAATACGATAACTTCCCTCTTCTCAACGTTACTGTAGTTACGCAGGCATATGGCAAAATTTAGCCACTATAAGTGTGCTGCATCTTTGGGAGGATAATCCATGTGATGGAGAAGGTCTAATGCTTTGTAAATGTCACATGATGAGAAGTAAAGACCATGAGTATTTAGACTGGAGAATAGTAAGAGTGTATTTTAAAACTGTGAAATATCCACGGTGTTTTTTATAGTGGCATATCTTCTTTTACTTTTCTTTTCTTGCACCTAATATCTAGAACAATATTACAATGAGATGGTACACATCCACAGGATATATTTCTTAATGTCTGCAGGGGCCTGCAAGGTTGTGTCTTGTTGCAGAGGGTATGACATGGAAGGGGAAGTAGTAAAACCTTGGCTGTCACTGGAGAAGTCTTTCTGAGCTGCTCCATTCAGGGAATATATTTGAGGATTCTTACCTGTGTCTAAGAAGGATAGAGGGGATGTAGGGCCTGTCCCCAAACTCCTCAGAGTGTATCCTGTGACATAGGTAGAATGTAAATACAAAAGGCTGTCAGTCTTTCTGGGCCAGCCCAGCCCTAAATGAGACTGTGCAACACTGGGCTGGGTGGGTGGGTGCCCCTGGGAAGCATCTGATCTCACCTGCAGTAGTTCAGGTCCCAGTGGGAGTGCTGGCCTCCTTGGGGAGGAAGGGCTCTCCCTCTGATCTGTGAATGTGTTGGCCTGGCTCCATTGCTTAAATTCATCTGGCCACTGGTTGGAATATTTTTATATATTCTACTCTAATGGTATCTTCATTCAGTCTTCTTACTCAAAACTATATGTAACCCAAAATTGGCTCTAAATCAGTCATCAATAATAAGGTGTCATGCCCATCAGGCAACATGTTTGTGTATTTTAAGGAAACAGTAGATTGCTTCCTTGTAATGAACACACACAACAAGAATCAGTATTTTCCTTAAGTGAAAACTATCGTTGCCTGGCAGTTAAAGAAACAGAAACACAGAAATTTAAAATTGAATTTGATAAATTTTAATCAGTCATGGCCTGGAAACATCTATATATATAAAGAGGTAATATGCTAATTGGTCCTAACGGTGTCCCAGTCATGTTCAACAGGTTGTGCGTGCACAGGAGCTGGTGGGCAGGGAGGGGGGCGGGGACTTGCACCACTGGGACATGAGGCTGCCGCCAGAGGCGTCAGGACGGGGTGGTCCCCCCAGCAGAGGTATGCTCAGGCCCGCGCAGGGGAGCATCAGGACAGGGGTGGGGCCTTGGCGGAGAGCTCTTAGCACTCCTGTGCCGAGGTCTGAAGGCACAGAGAGGATGGGAGAGCAGATGGGCAGTTAAGGAGATCAGGCCAGGAGGGGAGAGCAGTGAGGGGCAGCAGGCAGGCAGGCAGGTGAGCACTTAGAGCTAGTGTTTCTGGATTGCGAGAGGGACCCGAGATTGGAGAGGGTGCAGGCCAGGTTGAGGGACCCTCCCCTCCATGTATGAATTTCGTGCACGAGGCCTCTAGTTCTGTATAATAAAAGCCTAATATGTTAAGTGTCCTGCCGTCTAGTTGGCCGTTCAACCAATCAAAGTGTAATATACTAATGATATGCTAAGGCTGCTCAACTGGTCACTATGATGTGCACTGACCACTAGGGGGCAGATGCTCTGACTGGTAAGTTTGCTTGCTGCTGGGGTCCAGCCAATTGGGACTGAGCAAGATGGGCTGGACATGCCCTGGAGCCCTCCCGGGTCCCTCCGCGGCCCTGATTGTGAATCAGTGGGGTCCCTTGGCCTGGCCTGTGCCCTCTCACAATCTGGGACACCTCGGGGGACTTCAGCTGATTTCGGCCCAATCCTGCAGGCCAGGCCAAGGGACCCCACTGGTGCATGAATTTGTGCACTGGGCCTCTAGTGTGTGTGTATGTATATATATATAAAGACTTCAAGTAACTAGAACAGGGGTGGGCAAACTTTTTGACTCGAGGGCCACAATGGGTTCTTAAACTGGACCGGAGGGCCGGAACAAAAGCATGGATGGATTTTTGTGTGAACTAATATAAATTCAAAGTAAACATCATTACATAAAAGGGTACGGTCTTTTTTTTCAATAGTTTTATTCATTTCTAAAGGGCCGGATCCGGTGGGCCGTAGTTTGCCCACGGCTGAACTAGAACCAAGTACCCTAACACTCAGGTACTCTAAAACCATTGTGGTGGCAGATAATGTAAACAGATAAAGGTTTATGTCTGCAGCTGTGAAAACAAAACTTGATTAATGAGACTTTAGTAGTAATCACCTAAAAGACCATATTCTACCAGCCCTCTGTCAGGATTTCTCTAAGAAGCTCAAATAAATCCTCCAAAGTATCAGCAGATACAAGAACATTGAAGTGGAGCTTATTAAAATAAGTAGGTATTTTGAATGTGCTAAGAAATGTGTGACTCACAATGCAGTGACACAAAGGCAAATGATTTACTGCATTCTAGAAAATAGAAAGGTTCTGAGGGTTACTTTAATCATTTATTTTGCAGAAAGGGCATACGATGCTGTCTAGAAGGATTTATAACTGCACATAACTCATTCCAACCATATGAGTAAGGCAAATGGGCAGATATTTTTTATAGAGCAAGTTCCAGAATACTTACGTCCATAGGTCAGCTCAAAGGCAGACTGGCTTTCTCTATCTTCTAATTCCTTGGCACATTTCAGGGATTAATCCTGATCACCTCACTGAGTCACCAAGAAAAGCATTAACTATGTTCAGTACATAGAGTTTTCTAAAGTAGGAACCTGTGCAGTATTTAGAACTTCCATTGAAAAGGATTTGACTAAACCATTTGAAATCCCAATACTTCTTTTGCCTGCTGGGTTCCAGAATGCTGGATTATTCTGAATAAACAATTGCCTTGGCTGAAGACAGAAAAATGACCAGTGTAGACAACAGTTACAGATGACAGTGTTACAAATCCAGATTATTTAAGGATTTTCCAGTACCTATAACTTACCTAACAAATATTTATTTTTTAAATATATTTTATTGATTTTTTACAGAGAGGAAAGGAGAAGGATAGAGAGTTAGAAATATCGATGAGAGAGAAACATCGATCAGCTGCTTCCTGCACACCTCCTACTGGGGATGTGCCCGCAACCAACATACATGCCTTTGGCCGGAATTGAACCTGGAACCTTTCAGCCCGCAGGCTGACGCTCTATCCACTGAGCCAAACCGGTTAGGGCCTAACAAATATTTTTTACATGGATCAGTGTTTAAAGTATTTGCTGAGTTTTTATATCTATCTCTTCACCTGAGTAAGAGATTGGAGAGAAGAGATCTCAGATTTTTCTAGATTAGTTGAACAAGCTTTTTTGTTTGTTTATCATTTAGATTTAAGCTAAAATGAAGTATATTATTTAATTGTATTGACCTTTATAAACAGAAACCAATGACTTGAGTAATTTAGATTTTGAGAAATATTAAAATGGAAACTTGGACTCATTTTTAGTTATTACATCTGTTCTAGGCAAGTCTTTCACTTGTTATCTCTGCCTGCTGATGACATTTAGCTTGGAGCCATTTTATCGTGTGCCCAGTAAATTTCAAATGGCTGTTCTTGAAGCTATAATGGCCTGAAACCTACAACCACTAAACCTTCTTGAGGAAGCATGGCTCCTGTAATTCCCCATCTAAGTGGGTGTTGACTCCAAACTACCACTTCATATCTGTAATTTCTGTGTGATTTTAGCATGGAAATAATTTCCAGTTCAGATTGTCTCTCTCTCTCTCTCTTTTTTTTTTTAACTCTTCGGTATCAAATAAGGTTCTAGGGGATAGTAAAAAAAGAACGTGCACTCTACTCAAAACCTCATGAAATCTCATTTCCTCATAATGAATTAACTGGGAAAACCTTCTGTCTAATATTACATTTTAGGTTTTATGGTGATTTAGGAAAGCTGTTAAGGATGGGTAAAGGTAGAGAAATGACTAGAAGGAGGAAGCATGGAGATGTTTAAAATGATTGATATTTTCTAAGTAGTATTTAGTTCTACTTAGCAATTGGTCAAGGCTCAAGAAGTTTAATTTTTATGGATTCCATATTACAAGTAAATATTGAGGTATATATAATTATTAGCAGAGAGTGACCAAAAAAAAATCTGTCATTGTGGAAGAAGGGACTAGAAAAACAATTCTGTCAGAGTTCTATCAGATTATGAGCTCCAAAGAATGAGAACTCTTATCAGCTATAACCTTGAGTATACTCTCAGGTTCCTGCTATTGTAAAGCTTGACTTGTTCTGAGGAATCGCAGATGCATAAACCATTGGATGACCTTGTGGGAGCTCCTCTATGTGGAAACAATTTGCAGACTTGAGTGATAGCTGGAGAGCTAGATTTAAACATTTTTGGTCCTCATTATAAATAATTTTTCTTTTAATTACAGCATCTTCACAACTATTTCACAGTGACCCTTGGAATGCCTGCTTGGTGTTCTTATGCCCTTTTCGTCATTGCCACCTTGATTTTTGGCCTTCTCATGGGTCTGGTAAGAGATAATGCCAATCTTCGTTCCTTTTCTTAAAGCCTGATGGGTTTTATGCAAAACTACAAAGCAGCCAAGAAAGAAAAAACACATAAACAAACATTATTTTGTGTGTAATCTAAGCAGTTAAGTAGCATTTGCTTATTTGATACTGCTTACAATGCTAATTTGAGAAATAATGGAAAATTCATTAAATCATTATCTTTTCATTCTAGCCTTTATATTTTCTGAAGATCTGTGCTCCCCAAAATATAGGCAGTGATGAAAAGAAACGTTGAGATCATACTTGAATTGATAGTTTGCAAGACAACCCCATCAGCAGTGATTTCACACATTGCCTACTTGATTAGAACTCTGTGGTGATAAGGCCAATGCTGTGGATCTGTTCCTCCAGTGAATGAGACGATTCTTTTCTTGTTCATATCCTCCAATTAAACCTCTAACCCTGGCCAGCTGCTTACACATACACTCTCCTTAGTCTGAGGTGGATTTTATAAGATAATGTTGAAAGAAGGGACTAGAAAACACAGTCAATATTGTGAAAAAAAAAAAAAAATCAGATGCAAAGCACATCTAGTGCTTACATACCTAGTAGGTCTTTGTGCATTTTCTCCCTAGATATTTTAGGTAAGAATTGGAATAATAAATTTATTTATTTAACTATGTAGGCAACTATAAGTATTGTGGCATGCTTTATTCTTTGATATAATTTGTTAAGCTTTCGCTGATCCATTTGATTGAGCTTTAAACTAATTAAAACAAATTCTTAAATGCCCTTATACTATATATGAACCACATAGCTTCTAACTACTATATGATAGGAATAAGTGATGATTACTAAAAATGTATATAAAAAAGACAAACTTTTAGTTAAGATTATCTTAAAAGTTTGTCCTTTCACATTATAATAAATTGTGGCTCTTTAGCAAAGTCTTTTTTTTTTTTTAATCCTCACCTCAGGATATGCATTTTTTTTTGTTTTTCATATATTTTATTGATTTTTTACAGGGAGGAAGGGAGAGGGATAGAGAGTTAGAAACATTGATGAGAGAAAAACATCGATCAGCTGCCTCCTGCACACCCCCCACTGGGGATGTGCCCGCAACCAAGGTACATGCCCTTGACCGAAATTGAACCTGAGACCCTTCAGTCCGCAGGCCGATGCTCTATCCACTGAGCCAAACTGGTTAGGGCTGCTTTTATTAATTTTTAAACAGAGTAAGGGAGACAGAAACATCGAATAGTTGCCTCCTGTATGTGCCCGACAGGGGATTGAACCCACAACCTAGGTATGTGCCCTGACCAGGGCTAGCATAATCTTTTTAAAATAAGCTTAAAACATTAGCAGTTGTTTTATAGCAAGTCATAAGTTAGTACAACAGAGTCCTATTCCAGGGAGCCCATTGTATTTTGCCATGAGCATGCTTCCTTCATACTATGGTTTATATTTGAGATTTGACTAAATGTTAACCTCACAGGTGGGGATAGAACTTAGATACATCATTCATTAGGTCCTAGGTGTGTTCCCATTCTGATGCACTAACCATACTGCTATTAACATGCCCCTAATGGTCTGGTCTAAAAGGATTTGACTTTGGATATAAATTTGACCTTGGATGTAAATATACTTCTCCCATCTACCATCTGGTCCTAGATTTTTCTGGTAGTATATTCTTGAGCCACAGGAGCATGAGGTTCATGTGGAGGGAACAATATGAGATCCCTGAAGACTAAGGTAGAGCTGTGGAGAATGTAGGTTGATTGTGAGCCTAATGCAAGACCGTTGGAAAGTCTTCTCAGCATAAAGTTTTAGAGTTTTATCTTTCAGGTTTACTTTAAACCCAAGAAATCATGTCAGATGTGCCTATGTCCTAAGTTTATTTGGAAACAGATTTAAATAATCAGTGTAGGAAGGTTATTAGGGGCTTGACCCAAAGAAAGAAGAGAGTTGATTCAAGACTGTTCAAGTGATTAAGTGACATAAAATGTTATTCCTTTATAAGAAGTTGGGTCTCCTCAGACTGGCATTCAGAGCTTTCTCTGGACCTAAGTGCCCCCATGACCCAATTTGGTGTAGCTTAAAGGAGCTAGACCTCTGCTGCCACCCAGCTCTTCCTGACTATGCCCAGGGCCTTAAATGTGCCTTCTTCAAATACATCATTCTTAATCCTTCCCAATGGTTGTAATCTCTGTATCTCTTAAGTATCTATCGAAGTGCTTTATTCATTTTTCTTATGAAACTCAATTGTTCTGTATTGATTTATAATTAAACTGCCATTTTTTTTTCTTTTTGAATCTTGCCCCCAGATGTTAATGAACCAAATATTAAATAAATTAATAAATGAAAATACAGGTGGTAATAATTCTGAACAAAATGTAGGATACTCATTTGACATTTATAGAATTGAATCAAAAGGACTATGACTTTGAGTTCTTTAAAATTTTAGAATACCTTTAAGACATTGGTGTAGGAAGTACTATTACTATTTATGGTGAGGGGCAGCCCATGTACCGACCAGTTCGGTTTGTCCAGAAGAGTGTTTTTTAAAGGCCAGTGTAGACTTGGCTGATAGTGTCTGTTTTCTTATACCTGCATGATTCATCTATTTTTAGTGGGCTCTCTTAGGCATTTGACTTTGTGACCCCTGTTTTCAAATATTAGCATCTCCCTATATTGTATCACATTTAAAAAAATAGGAAATTCTTAAGTATACCCTTTTCTGTCTTGAGGACTTTTGACCAACTGCTAATTATTTATCTATGAATATCTGGTTGTAGAAGGCTTAATTTTTAAGGTTATTTGAAAATAAATGTCCTACCTACTCACTATAAAATCACCTTTTACCCCTCCAGGTCTTGGTGTTAATATCAGAATGTTTCTATGTGCCATTTCCAAGGCATGTATCTGAACACCCCGGTAAGTGTGATAAACTCATGTAAATAGAGTATTTTTGGAATTCTGTGTTGTGCCCTTTCGTGCTCATATAGGTGGTAGATTTCCCCCTGATGTGCTAGGTTACCAAACCACCACCACTAAATTCCTTAAAATATGTTCTCTATATAGATTTAACAAAATTCTCTTTTTTCTCTCTTAAACTAAGGAATATTTCATCTTGGCAATTCCTTTTTCCCTTTAAGTATGTGCCCTTCATTAATCAATTGATACCCTTTTCTTCATTCAAACTGGAATGAAAAGGGAGGGAGGGAACTCACATTTATTAGGACTTTATTGTGTGCCTGTAACTATTCCAAGTGCTTTGAAAGAAGTCTCCCTGCCTGGCCAGTGTTGTTCATTGGTGAGTGTCCATCTATGAACCAGGAAGTCATGGTTCCATTCCCAGTGGTCAGGGCACATGCCTGGGTTGCAGGCTTAGTACCCAGTAGGGGGTGTGCAGGAGGCAGCCAGTTGATGATTCTCTTTCATCCTTGATGTTTCTATATCACCCTCTCCCTTGCTCTCTTTGAAATCAATTAAAAAAAATGTTTAATTTAAAAAAAAGAAGTTTCCCCAAATCTTTGTACTGTTTCACACTGTTTCTGAGATCAAATAGCCCTGGATTTGCATGTTTTTAATTCTATTTTTTTTAAACTTTGCATAAAGACTTTTATGAGACTTTGTTGAATTTTATGTTAGAGTTTAAATAAGCTATATTTCTTTTTAATTTTTGAAGTTTTCAATACTTTGGGACTTCCATAGATAAAGTCATGTGCTATGAGATAGGGATACATTATGAGAAATGCATCATTAGGTGTGATTTGGTCTTTTTTGCAACATCACAGAATGCACATGCACACACACAGATGATACAGTCTTACTTTATACAGCTGGCAGCAGAGTAGGCATTTAAACCAGCATCACCACAAACACACGAGAATTACCTTGCTTTTCTACAAGATGACTACAACAGGAATTTTTTAGCCCCATTAGAATCTTACTAGAGGCCTGGTGCATGAATTCGTGCATGGGTGGGGTCTGGCCAGCCTGCCCTAATGGGGGCCCATCGGCCAGGGCTGGCGGAGGGAGGGGCTGCAGGTGGTTGGTGGGCTGGCCCTGCCCCTAATTGGGGTGTTGGGGGCCAACTGGGGGCGGGGCTGGCCAGGGGGAAGGGGACCAATCGGGGCCCAGATCAGGCTGGTTGGCTGCCACAGAGCATGTCATAGCCATTGGTTGTTCTGGTCATTCCACTGTTCCGGTCACTGGGCTTTTATATATTTAGATAGGACTGCTGTGGTATATGCAGTATGTCCTTGATTGAAATGTTGCAATGCCGCACATGATTATAATTAGAAGGTATATTATGTTCCTTAGAATTCTTAGAAGTAACAGAAAGCCAATTTAAAGCAATTTGGGGAAAAAGGAAAATGTATTTAACACACACAACTGAAAGCCCAGGGTTGTTCTAGCTTCAAGCACAGCTCAGGGATGTTAGATTGTGCTCCCATGTGACTGATTTCAGTGTCTGTCAAGAGCGGTAGCAATCACTGTAGAAAGTGAGAGCTTTTCCTCCGCACTCTGGCAGAAACTGCTGGGAGCACTCTGATTGGCTCAGCTTGTCATATGGTGAATAAGTTACCACGGCTAGTGAGTAGGTCACTGAGCCAGGTTCTACAAGGTACAAAATACAAAGCCTGAGGGAACCTTTGCCCTCCTGGGCTGGGCTAGGACACCAACTAGAGATCTGTCCTGGGCAGTAACAGCTTCAAGGTGGAGAAGACTGTCGTGTGCCCCCCTTTCTTTATTCCACAGCCAGTTTGACTGCTGAGTGACCATTGTTTATTCAGAGGCCGTTCCCCTCTCTTCCCTCCACAGAGCAGAGTCGGAAGTCAGAGGAGGCTCATAGGGCTGAACAGTTGCTGGATGCAGAGGACGAAAAAGATGACTCAAACGAAGAAGAAAACAAGGACAGCCTTGTAGACGACGAGGAAGAGAAAGAAGACTTTGGTGATGAGGACGAACCAGAGGAAGAAGAGGAGGAGGACAACCTGGCTGCTGGTGCGGATGAGGAGACGAGTGACACCCAGGACCAGGGGCCCCCGAGGGAGCCCCTGGAGGAAAGAGAACCCAATGAGACTAAGGAAGATGCCCCTGGGCAGCCCCGTCCATCTGACAGGGAAGACACAGTGAGGCAGCGCAAAAGTCAGCATGCTGATAAGGGACCTTAGGCTCACAGACTATTTCCAAGAACATAGAGCAGAGGAGTGTGCCGGCTTCCCTCTGTCTGCAGTCTAAATCAAAATCCTCCTTGTTTCCCGAGCAAGCTTCTCTTAAAAATCCACCTTAGTCATGTAGTCTCGGCATTAAGCTTAATGTATATTAATGAGACTCCTTCAAGCATGACAATCAGAATGCGTGGTGTTCGGATATGCTTGGGGATTCGGGATCGGCACACATGCATACACTTGGGGCGAGAGAGTTTTGACCAGAGGTAGCGATGCCCAGCCCTCGTGAGGACTGTTCATTGACAAGGCTGCAGGCCCCATAAAGTGAAAGCAAAGCAGCCTGTGCATCCTCATGTGTAGCAGAAGTCTTGCTTCTCCTGTGTTAAGAAGTTACTTTTGTCAAACTATAAGAAACATCAGGCACCATAGTACTGGGTCACTTTTTTAGAGAGAGAAATGGAGCGGGCCCTGGATTATTGTAGAAAAGAGCTTGGCAGTTGTCTTGACTTTAAATTTCCATTGTTATGTCTTATTTCTTACCTGTCCCATTTCCAGCTGTCCTGCCAACAGCCTGCAGGCTCCCCACACTTCACAATGCTTCCTAGTGAGACATCAGCTGCGTTTAGTGGATTTAAGGGTTTAGTTAATCAAAAACCGCAGCCCATGAAGGTGGACTGCCAAGCAGCTCAAATGAATTATTGTAACCTTTGGGGATTCAAAAAGTGGTAGGGATTTTACAGGAGACAATTTTGTTGTTTTTTGCCAAAATGGAGTAATTTTTTTCCCCCAAAAGTCCCTTCAGCAATATTCCTTCCCGACCCAGAAGTCCCCTAAGTCTTGCCAGTACAAGGTAGTCTTGTGAAGAAAACTTGAATACTGTGTTGTTTTGTTTTCATCTCAAGGGGTTCCCTGGCCTTGAACCACTGTAATAATAACTGAACATTTCTGGTTCTCCTTCAGTGATGTGCTTTTGGTGAAAGAATTAATGAAAGTGAGTATCTGGAAATGAAAGATTTGGTTTCATTTCCTTCTTTCTTAATCTTGTAAAGAATTTTATCCCTGTAAATCTCTCAGTGCTCAATCTACTAAAAGTACCCAGGAGGCCCAATTTCTTTTAAAAAATCCATCCATCTACTTCTGCCTTACCTGATTTATGTTTTAGAATAAATTCATAAAATTAGATTCCAAACCTTATGAAAGATGACTAAAGTTGATTCGACACCCCTTGGGTCCAGACAGAATAATAAGTAGTGAAGGCTTATGAAATTTAAAAGTTTCTGTCGTTTTAAGAAAGAAATATGCAGTGTACTCTTATCTGGCTGTTTAGATAACCCTTTTCTTCCATTAACTTTGAACACGGGATCATTGGAGGGAGGGAGCGGTTCTGAAACTTGCTCTCTTTCTGTGCTTGAATGAGCCTGTTGCAAATTTACACAAAAGGGGTTTTTATTCTGCCAGAATCTAATTTTTAGAGATGGTTATTTTTCATCTTTTCAATGCAGTTACCTGACAGCCTCATCCTGCAGCATGAGAGTCACCAGATTTTTTGCCCTGGCTGTTTTGGCTCAGTGGATAGGGTGTCAGCCCACAGACTGAAGGGTCACAGGTTCAATTCTGGTCTATGGCCTGTACCTCAGTTGTAGGCTCCCACATGGATGTGTTCTAGTCAGAGCTCTTGCGGGAGGCAACCAATTGATGTGTCTCTCACATGGATGTGTTTCTCTCTGTCTCTCCCCCTCCCACCCTTTCTAAAAGTCAATAGAAAAATATTCTCGGGTGAGGATTACCCCCCAAAATAAGAAAGAGTCACCAGCTTTTGGCAGCTATGAAGCTGGGGAGATCCTGACCAGACCAAGGACATCGGATCTCATTGTCCTCCCAGCCCTTCAACCCTTCCCCAAAGACCCTCAATAAGATGGTTTGACAACCCCCCCGTACCCCCCAAAAAAGAGTCACCAATAATAGTTTTTCTCTTCAGACAGCAACACAACCTCAAGTTAGAGGCCATCAGAAAACTGAGGGGCTAGGAAAATCTTGAATTTGCTCGTTTTCTTTCCTTCCGTAAGGTAGGTCTCTGATACATCTTAACCCGGGAAGCTTTTCTGGATCATTGCTGAGCTGGGCGTGCCCTCCAGCACTGGATTTCTTCCTCTTACAATCAGCTGAATTGAGTTTGCAAAGATCATTAAGCTCAAGTTCAGAGCTACAGACTAAGAAAGGATTCAGTTTGGCTTTTCTATATAAGCTCCCCTCCTTTGTAATAACATCATTTTTTTTTTAAGTGGAATATTTGACTAGAGAGGAGGGAATGAAATCTGCTTTGACTTTTTAGAAATGTAAGGCCAATTTCCAGTTGGATATATATATATATTTCTCAGCGATACTTTAAAAAAATGGAGTGAGCAAAGAAAAGCATCTTGGAGAAGAAAATTCATTAGAAGTTTAAAAGTCTGGCTATGCAAACCATTTCCCCCCCCTGTTTTTCCTGTTTTTCAATATCCTGGCAAAAGATGGGGTTTTTACCAAGTGGTCTGATAAATACTCAACTAATTTCATTTCTTTCCACCTGAGGCCTTTACATTGTTTTCAGTACTGACTGAATGTAAAACTAAAGGCAAAAAGTCAACCTAAAATAATTTGAAATTAACATTTCAATGGGATTTTAAGGATATTTCTTATATTTATTCCAGGAGTCAAGTGCATGGAAACAGGATTTTCATTTTAAAAGTAAACATTAGCCATGGTTTCCTATATTGTAGTATCAGTTATTTACTTACACAATGGTATTTTGTATAAATCAAAATCAGGTGAATTAAAAGTAACTGAATAGTTGGAGCAGGTGCCTTTTCATCAATGAGGCACCTTCTACCTAGCTTTTTCTTAGTTTCCTTTATTACATCTCTTCCTAGGCCTGTTCCACTACCCAACTTGCTTAGTGATCTTATATTGAGGTAGCAAACAAGCGTTGGCCAGGTTGGCTTTTGACACTGGAGAAAGCCACATTTTTATTTATTTATGGCCCAAATCTGTTGATAGCTCTGGTGTTGCTACATGATTTGGGCATATGTAAGCCTGCATCCTGTAATATCTTTGGAGTAGATGATAAAAATATCTTTCAGGGGAAGTATTTACTGTTACTGTGTTACCGAGTCAAGAGTGAAGGATGGGAAACATTAAAGAGTCAATAAAAGGTAGACAAGTCAGGGTACACCTGAGATTTCAGCACCTTAAATTGGCTTGAAGTGAGAGAAAGGAGATTGGTGCTTTTGCTAATGTATCAATGTCTGTCTGTCCCTTATCTCCGTGTCGAAGTGTTATTTCTGCCAGTGTTATAAATGTGTGGTAGACCCATCCTGTTAAATATGACAACATTTTGGAAAGTATTCACATTCTTTGTGCCAACAGAAAAGTTCCTTGTTTAGTATCTCTTTACCTCAGCCCTACGTTTTGATTCTCCTGAGGTTACAGCTTGTCTTGCAACCAACGTGGAGTCATCAAGTCTGATGAACCTCCAACAGCTTGTGAACAGCTTTCCTGAACCAGGAGGTTCTGTTGAAAGGCCCATGACAGCTTCAGACCAGGACTTGGCCTTCAGGTGGCTTATTCTCAGTAAAGTTTCCTGTGTACTGTGACATTGTACTTGTATATGTGAGACATACTAGGTACACCTTTGACTTGTTTCCAATATAGTGTAATTGTATTTGTTACTAAATAGCTTATTTGTGCAAATGCAATTTTTATACTGAAAATACTTCTTATTTGTATTGCAATACATTATAAATTTATTATTTATATTCCTTGTAATAGTCTTGATTATTTAGCCCACGGTACTTAATTATTTTCCTCTTCACCCATGTATTTATTCTTTGCCTCCTCAAATAGTATCTGCAGCAACTGGAACCACGATAGGAGTTTCTAGCAGAACGTTGCCTGAATTGCAAAGCACCTTAATCACAGAATTGTACATAATCCTTGATCCTGTGTTTTCATTTTATGTAAATTTCCATTTGCCTCAAAACCTATGATAGTGCTAAGTAAAAACAAAACCATCGTTTTTCATGTAACTGTTTTCACAAGAGTTGTTTGCCTAGGCCAGTGATGGCGAACCTGTGACACGCGTGTCAGAGGTGACACGCGAACTCATTTTTTTGGTTGATTTTTCTTTGTTAAATGGCATTTAAATATATGAAATAAATATCAAAAATATAAATCTTTGTTTTACTATGGTTGGAAATATCAAAAAATTTCTATATGTGACACGGCACCAGAGTTAAGTTAGGGTTTTTCAAAATGCTGACACGCCGAGCTCAAAAGGTTCGCCATCATTGGCCTAGGGAGTGAAAAAAGATTACTGTGTTAAAAATGTTCTCCTCTGCGTCCATCCCCCATCCAGTCTGTTCATTTTTCCTCTTTATCCTCTTCTCCTTGACTTGGTGAAACCCACACCATGTGCCTTTAGCTGCTCTGGAAAGTGCACAAAACAAAGGAGGAGCCATCAAAGGGCTCCTTGTCACAGCCATTGTGTTGTATATAGAATCTCACTGCACTTGCCTCTCGGGTCTCCTTCTGTCCTGAGGTCTGGGGGTGGCCAGGCTGGAGCAGATGGCGCTGAGATGATTGGTCTGCACCCCAACCTTCCTGGCACTATGGCAGTGGAAAGCACAAAGGAGAGGTGACACTTAAAAACCCCTGGGGACTAAAACAATGGAGATTAAAATGCTCACTTTTGAAAAACAATGGAAGGATGTATAATACAAAGAAGATGATTAAATTTCCATACCACTGAGTTTCCCTCCCCCAGAGAAGCTGGCTCAGAATACATACTAGCCTATATAGTGAAAAAATACCCATTTTGCAGTGTCGCAGCCTACCTGAACTTGGTCCGCACATCCTTGGTGGGAGCAAAACCTGTAGCTTTTGAAGCCAATGACACGGAGTTACAATGCAACTCCCTGCCTTATCCCGATCTTGGAGGCTCTTTGGATCATATTCCACAGTAACTGGAGTTCTTTCTTAGAACATGTGAACCTGAGGTTGATACTGTATTAGACTAGTGTAGGCTGTGTTAACAGACCCCCAAATTTCAGGGCCTTTAAGAACAAGAATGGTGTTACTGTGTCACCTAGTCCAACTCCGCCATTCCAGGGGGTAGTGGCCATGCTTCAGGAAGGTTTTTCTAGGATCCAGGCCCAGGGAGGCTCTGTTCTCTGTGGTTTCTAAGGTGACTGTGGTCACCTTCATCCCAACCAGTCAGAAGGGAAGAGTGCATGGAGGAGCACTCAGAGGTGAAAGGGTAGGCTGCCAAGAGGCACACGCGCACCATTTCTGGTCACATTTCTTATGAGAGGACTTAGTCACAGGGTCACACCTAACTTAAAGCGAGGCTGGGATATGCCATCTCAGCCACAGTGACTTCACCTTCTTTACCTTTGTAACCCGAGTGCCCCACAAGGGTAAGCTCCTGAGAAATAGCAGTACAAATGCCCACGTGGACTAGACCATTACTGGTCTGCAGGATACTAGAGTTTTCAATTGTGAATGATATGCTCCCATAGAATTTATATTTTATTTGGGAAGATGGACATTAATAAGTGGGATAAGAGTTCCAACTGGAAAACTTAAGAGATGCTATGTGAGTTTATAAAAAAGAAACCTGAGCTAGACTGAGGGTTTGGTGGTAACATGACCAGAGGGCAAGATTAGGAATTGAGGCAGAGATGGACTTGGGATCCCTCAGATGCACACAAGCAACCTTTAAGATGCACACGTGGAGAAATAGGACTAGCATTCATCTCAATGGAAGGTTCTTTGTGGAGCCACTAGGGTAGATTCTGAACTTAATTTTCCTTTTGTAGAGGGGAGTGATGGAGGCATAGTTTCCAATTAATCTTTGCATGAGCTCTACCTCCCATTTTAATATCTTTGAAATCAGCATATATTGAAGTCAGTAATTGATAGGCTCCATAAATCTCCCTAAGTGTGATTCTAGTTAATAGACATATGATTAATCATGTTAATCTAAAAATTATCCTTTGGAAAGATTTATGCCATCAGAATTCTTTGTGTTCTATTACTGGCAGGGCATATAATTCCTAAAATTATTTATTATAATTAGTTACTGGAGTAGAGACAATAGGATAAACACAGAGCACATTTGTGCCCCAAAGGGACCAACTGCTAGGCTCATTAAATTATGGAGTTGTCATGCTATGGGATTATTCTTCAAACTCTAGCTCTCTGTGCAGTAAATTCTAAGCATGAATCTCAATCTAATAAATAGCATTAGAAACCAGCATGTTATGGGTTGACCGTTGACTGTTAACTATTTTGTCTAATAATAATGTACAGAGTATTCTAAGACTTCAAGTTGTTGACTACTTCATGAATAGGAAACAGCTATGGGCAAAGCCACATGATTAAACTATAGCACCAAGTCATTTGACCCTCCTTCTGCGTGTGTATTCTACTGACTAGAAAAGTGTTACCTCCTAAAAGAACAAATGTCCTTTTAAGTGGCACAAAATAGGGTGATTTCTTTTCCTTCTATGCTTTTTAACATATGTGAATAGTATTGGCATTTGTTTTAAAAGTGAAGGTCTACTCTCATGCTGTAGCAGGAAGATAAGCCCCCTGTCCTGTGAGTACAACACAGTCCTAGCGACAGGTTAAAGCAGTGGCTTCAGGAAACAGCTAAGCTCCGGACTATTCTAGAGCAAGGAGACCTGCCTAACTCATAATATGCAAACAAAATAGTGATTTAGGGTAAATCCAAGTCAGGAGAGATCTCAATGTACATTGTTCCAACAAGGGTTAAACTGTTGGCCTTTTCGTAGGCTAATGATATGGAACCTTCAAGGGAGGGCTTTAGCATCTCTAAAACTTATTTAACAACAAATATTGTGGAGCAGGAAAATTGAAAACCTCCCACTACAAACACTAGAAATGCTGGCTAAAGTGTAACTGACACTTTTTTTTTTTAAGGCAAAGCTGACCTTAAAAGAAAAAAATTCACAGGAGCCAACCACGGGGCCAGTAAAGAGCCCCGGTCCTGGGCCTGCCCTAGTAGAAGTGGTGGAGAGCTGCTGCCCTAGGGAACCAGGGAGTGTATGTTTTGTCTGCCACACAGGTGTAGGATGCAAAGTCTTGACTGTAACAAGGTGGGAGAATGGAGCTGAAATTGTGTAAAATTCCCAGCTACATCCTTAGTGAAACAAACAAACAAAAATGCCTTCTTAGCACATGGAAATTACAAGAAAGCTCCTCTGTCTTGGCCTGGTGTTTGTGTTGAAAAATAGGAGACTTCCCTGAGAAATCATATGGGCCTGGCCTTACACAAATGGAAGTTTGAATGTACACTAGCTTCATTGCCTCCAAACCAAGAAATACTCATAAAAATGCTAACAGAGGACGGGGGAATATTAGCAGAGGCAAGCACAAAATTACCTGCTATTGAAAACACTGTCAATCTGGTATAAAAATTCCTATAAAGCCCCACTAAGATGAACTCGCAATCCAAAGTCACCAATTACACACAGAAACTATCCATCAGAGATCAAGATTAGACTTGCCCCACACTTTGGAATAATATTGTCAGATAAAAACTTTAAACTTAAAATGTATTAAAACCATGAAAGAGGCAACATAAAACACAATAAAATAAGGTACTTCTTTCCTCACAATAATGTGTTTCAGGTTCATCCATGCTGCATGAATCACAGTTCAATCCTTTCTAATGGTGTGTAGAATTTCACTTAATGAATATTTATCACATTGTTTATTCACTCTGCAGAATTAATTGACAGACATGTAGAGTGTTTCCAGTTCTTGACTAGCCCTTTAAATCCTCTGATTATGGGACTTTCCAAGGACTACTTTACTAATAATAATATTTGGAGGAAATCCTGAAATGTTAGAAATATATTCCTTAGGATTTTCCAAGATTTGTACTTGCATTACCAGAGAGAAACGTAGATCACCCTTACAAAGGGAAGATGCTTAAGAAACAGATATAGCCCAGGTCTTCCTAGGATTGAATCCCTGGTCTACCATTTGTCAGTGGTAAGTTAGTCAAGGTACCTAACTTCTCTGTGACTCATCTTTACAGTGGGAGTAGTAAGGGAAATCCACATCCATTAATAAAGTTCTTTTTTGTTTGTTTTTTGTTTGTTTTTTATTATTTTTTTGTTTTTAATTAAGTTCTTAAAGGCATCAGAGTTGAAAAGATAATGGATGCCCAGGTTCTCAGGCCAGGATCTAGAGTTAGAAAGATCAGGAATGTGGTCCTGGTGTTTGGGGCTGCCTTTCTCCTGAAGGCATCTGCTGTTTCTCGGAGGAGGGGTGGGCAGTGTGTTACAGAGCCTGAGTGATGCTTTTGAGAGCTTTGGCTAAGGATGGGAGGGCATGTGAAAACTCGTTGGTTGAGTTGGATCTCTGATAGGACCGACAGGATGAGCCATAAGTAACCAGGCACCCATAGCTCAGCCTCAGTCTACCCAGCTTCTAGAAACAGGATGATGTGATCCTGGGAGCAAGCATAAATGCTGGAAGGAAGTAACTTGGTAATGAGAGTTGAGGAAATTGAATTCTTAAACTGAGTGGTGGGTTCTCTTGATTTTTTTACTTTGCTATGAGGTAGGATTCTGTGGTCTAAATAAATCTTGGAGCTCCTGTAGCCCTGTCTTAGTGGATTGTTGCATTCAAAGGACCATAATCTAACAATCAAAAGGAAACAATTTCTTTGTATTCCTTTCATTCTCAGCCTCTTTTAGTGCTAATGCCATCCCTTCATCAAGCCAGC